TATGCTCGTGCAGACCAGGAGCTTTATGCCATGCATTTTAGACTCGTGCGGGCAAGGAGCTTTGGTTCGTGCAGTTTAGGCTCTTATAGACAAGGAGCTTTGTGTCTTGCAGTTTAGGCTCTTATAGACAAGGAGCTTTGTTGTCGCCTTTTATGCTCGTGCGGACCAGGAGCGTTGGTGTCGCCTTTTATGCTCGTGCGGATCAGGAGCGAGCGTTGGTGTCGCCTTTTATGCTCGTGCGGATCAGGAGCGTTGTGCCATGCAGTTTTAGCTCGTGCAGACAAAGAGCATTTGGTGCCGTGTTGCAGTTTCAGCTCGTGCAGACAAGGAGCTTTGTTGTCGCCTTTTATGCTCGTGCGGACCAGGAGCATTGGTGTCGCCTTTTATGCTCGTGCGGATCAGGAGCGTTGTGCCATGCAGTTTTAGGCTCGTGCAGGCGATGAGCCTTGGTTCGTGCAGTTTAGGCTCGTGTGAACAAGGAGCATTGGTGTTGCCTTTTATGCTCGTGCAGACCAGGAGCGTTGGTTCGTGCAGTTTTAGGCTCGTGCGAACAAGGAGCATTGGTGAATTTGTCAAGCAATTTTGGAGGGGCGTTCCTCACAATTTTCATAGCAAGGAGCTTTGACCGCGTGATTGAAAAAGTCTTCGGGCAAGAAGTCGCGCATCGTGATGGCAACGGACGATCTTTGTGTTGCAATTTCATCATCTTCAACACGTTCACGTTGCTTTGAAGGTTGACAAGAGCTACTTTGCCCCCTTTCCGATTGGCGGACTTGTGGAGGAGACGTATGCTTCTTGTGCAATTTCTTAGGAGTGACTTGAGTCCATCCTTCAATTTTGCTTGTCTTGGAGGATGCCCCCAGCGGTTGAGGTGAAAACTTTGAGTCGGAAGAGTCAGAAGTGATGGTGGTATAGTTTGACTTCACCACATCGTCAAGATCTAGCTCGATGATTCCTTTTTGAGCCAGCTTCATGATAAGATCTTTCAGCACGAAGCACTTTTCTGTCGGATGACTGATGAAGCGGTGGAATTTACAGTACCTTGGACTGTCGGTGCGATTCATCTCTTCTGGCCGTCTGCACTCAGGCAAGCCGATCACCTTCTTTTCCAGCAAGTCTTCTAACATGGCAACCACATCAGAGTCGGGGAATGGATAAGTTTTCTCCTCGAGCTCCTTCAAAGTGCGTCTACGCATCTCTTGATCACGAAAGCCTTCGTCTTGAATCGCCTTGCCTCGTGTGGAGATTTTGACAGGAGATGTGTTGACCGTCATCGCTTCCTTGGTGGGTTTCCATGCAGCCTTTTCCACCTTTGTCTCAAGAACTTTGTCATTCTTATAGTTGGCGATTGGTTCCTTCTTCCCATGATGGGCGATGCTCAACTCCATGTCATGGGCGCGAGTGGCCAATTCCTCGAAGGTCCGTGGTTTAATGCCTTGAAGGATGTATTGCAAACCCCATTGCATGCCTTGGATGCACATCTCGATTGAAGAGGTTTCCGAGAGCCTATCTTTACAGTCGAGGCTCAGAGTGCGCCATCTGTTGATGTAGTCAATGACTGGCTCGTCCTTCCACTGCTTTGTGCTCGTTAGCTCTAGCATGCTCACAGTGCGGCGGGTGCTGTAGAAGCGGTTGAGGAATTCTCGCTCTAATTGCTCCCAGCTGTTGATGGACTCGGGCTCTAGGTCCGTGTACCACTCAAAGGCATTTCCTTTCAGCGAGCGCACAAACTGCTTGGCGAGGTAGTCTCTCTCTGTCCCCGCGTTGTTGCAAGTTTCGACGAAATGTGCAACGTGCTGCTTTGGGTTTCCTTTTCCATCAAACTGCATGAACTTTGGTGGTTGATAACCCCTTGGCATCCTTAGAGCATCAATCTTCTTGGAATAGGGCTTCGAGTAGAACAATGAGGTATGTGAGCTCCCTTCGTACTGTGCCTTGATGGTGTTGGTGATCATCTCCTGCAGTTGCTGGATAGAAAGAGATCCCATGAGTGCCGCTGCTTGGTCTGGCTCCGGCTTCCCATCGATTTTCTTCACCGGGGGTTCTTCGTCTCCGCCAGCTCCTCCCTTTAGTGGATCATCCTCTGGGTCGGGTTTATCGCCGTCTTGTGCCTTCAATCGGTTGACTAGTGCTGCAATTTGCAAGTCTTTTTCTTCCACAGTTCGGGTTAGCCTTGCGATTGCTTCATTCATTTGAGACAGCTGCTCATCGATTGAAGTTGCTCCAATGGTCATGACTTGCATGGCTGAACTGTCGCTTGAATCGGCATCGGAGAGCATGGATTCGGAGTATTTCCTTGGGCTTTCCCCCCTTGGTGCCCTTAGTGAGGCTAAGGTGATCAAAGGCTTGTGCCTTGGGTGCTTTTGTTCCCTTGGCAGAGTTGATGCAGAGGTGAAAGAGGTGGCAGAACTAGCTTTTGCCATGCTTCGAGTCGTGATGCCCAAAGTGACACCACTTGCGACGATGACGCTCTTGTTCTTTGTACCGGTTGCGGGAACAGTTTGAGCCTTCCTTGCTGCCATTGACTTTGAAAGCGCGCTTGAATTTCTTGAACGGAGAAAGAGATGAGAGGCAGAGATTGTCCCACTGGGCGTGCCAATTTGTGAACACGGAAAATTCCTGAAACGAAAGAGACAAGAACAACGACGTGCACAAACAAATATTTGTATTTGATGATTTTGGGTTACAATCTCTCTCTATTTTGATCCTCTGATTCGATCTCCGTAAGGTGTGTATTTGTGGATGTGCGATTGATCCAAAAGGGCCGTTGGGCTTGATCTAAGGATGAACGTTCTTCAAGGGCCGTGGACTTGATCTTGAAGGTGGATTTGAGCGGATCTTCAAATGGGCTTTTGGGCTTGATCTTTGAAGAACAGTGATGAACGGATCTCCAAGGGCTTTTGGGCTTGATCTTGAAGAACAGTGATGAACGGATCTTCAAGGGCTTTTGGGCTTGATCTTGAAGAACGGTTGGATGTGTGGATTTGTCGACGTTGTTGATCCAAAGGGCCGTTGGGGCTTGATCTTGGAAGAACGATGAACGAAGAACGAAGAACGCTTTCTTCAAGGGCCGTCGGGGCTTGATCTTGAAGGTGGATAATTGTTGATCCAAGGGCCGTCGAGGCTTGATCTTGGAAGAACGATGAACGAAGAACGAAGAACACTTTCTTGATTCTTCGGGAACCTGGATGCTTGAGAGCTTCGGAGTTTCAGAGCTTCAGAGCTTCAGAGCTTCAAGGTGTAATATGAATTGGTTTTTTTAAAATGAATGAAATAGGCTTGTATTTATAGAATTTTCCAAGGCCTAATTTTGAATATAATATCCCAGATGAAATAAGTCGTTTCTGCCAGGGGTTGACACGTGTCCTATTTGATGACTTTTCCAACTCATTTCAATTTTCGTTGAGTCACACGCTACGTGTAAAATTTATGTAATACATGAGCGTTGACACTTTGATTTACCGGTCAACATTTATTTACGAAATTTCGATGTCTACAGTTACATTGTCCCTTCAACCCCTTTTCCTACCAAAATATTTCCACCCATAGAGACACCTCTTCGACTATCTATGTTAATTGTTACAGTCTCAAGGAAATGCTCTAAAACCCACAGTGATGCAGCTCTCCAATATGGATGAGTGACTGAGGGACATTTCAAACCCATTTTCCAATCTAGCCTACGCATTTTCTTATGATTTCACCACGCAAGAAAGGCTTCTTAGTGTGTGTTTAACTCCCAGTACAAAGGGTTATTTATGCCGAACCCAATTTTTGTGAAAAAAATTATGGAATTTGCCAAAACCCTTAAAAATGCCAAAAGAATTTAGCTCAAACACTTCACAAACGATGATTCTGCACTAATTTTACGACCCCAAAGCATCTCTTCTTTCCTAAAACACAATTTGGGTCAAAACCCAAATGTATCAAAACTCAATTATACACACTGACCAATAATCAGTAAAATAACCATTAAAATGCATCAAACTGATTAACATTTCAGCTGACCAAATGCAGAAAGAACCAGCTTTTTCCATCATACAAAGCCAACTCACAACCGAACCCACTAAATCGCACAGCTCGGAACCAGATCCAATTCTTTACAAACCAGAATCGTAACAAACCTTAAAAATCAGACTTTGTTCTTTTTCCCAAGCACAAGTTAAACCAAAGAAACCAAGAAAACTAACTTATTTTCTCATAATCATCATATTTTCCTAAAAAATTGAAATTTTCCATGGAAAAATCAAGAAAACGAACCTGGAGATGCAGCGGCTACGGGAGAAGACCGAGATTGAACCTGGAGATGCAGTGGCTACGGGAGAAGATCAAGATCGAACCTGGAGCTACGGGAGAAGATCGAGATTGAACATGGAGATGCAGCGGCTACGGGAGAAGATCAAGATCGAACCTGGAGATGCAGCTGCTACGGGAAATGATGAGGAGGAGGGCTACGGGAAAAGGCAGCGGCAGACAGAGAAGATGGAACGAAGAAGATAGAATTTTAGGGTTTGTTTTTTGGATGATGTAAATATTGAAAAAGAGGAGGGGTATTTTTGTCTTAAAATGTTATGAATTTGTGTTCCATGGGATGGAAAAACCCGTTCCCCGGAGGGGAGGGAGGTGGAATCAAAATCTAACACATTTTCGTTTTGTGGAACATGCGTTCCACATAATTTTAGCTCACCAAACATGGGACGGAACGCGTCTGTCCCACTCTGTTCCGTCCCATCACGTACCAAACGCACCCTTAGGCTTCATGCCAAGGACCAAAATAAGAGAATATTCCAAAGATAAATAAAATAAAATAAAATAATTATTTCTTATTTTGAAAGTTCAATTGCAAATCCCTAAATATATTAACCATTTTACGCTGAATTTTAGTCAATCTCATACAAAAGCCATCTGAGACTGAGAATGCCAGTGCATTTTCAATACTTTTAAAAAGGAGTACTCCATATATGTAGAATGGTGGGTACTGTTGCTGTGGTGTTCTGTGTTAATGAAATAAAAATTTGTGTAATTTTTTTATTCACATGTCTTTGTTTCATCGGAACAGAGCATCATGTGGCGATGTACCATGACAAAGATATGGATGTCAACAATTTCGAATGATGATTTGAGTTCTTGAAGCCTTCCAACATATTGGCATAATATGCAGATTGGTTCTCTACAAAATGCTGCAAAATCTGCTGCCCATGAAATCCTAAATCTACAAACTATGCAAACGAAACTGGTGAAGCCCGTAGCATTAGTTTTCGTCTTGCTCATACCGAAGATTGAAGAACACATTCGGGTTCTGCTAAAAAGGAAGAGTCAGGTCAGTAGTTTAAGAAGAAACATAACAAGTACTGATCCGTTAAGAGAGGTATCTGCCCGGAAAAGGTGCGTGTCAGCGAAAGTAAATCAGTATCATACAACCTAATCCGGAGTTGGCTCCTCGACTGATTTCCTGTATTCCGGTTTCAGCTCATACGTCCCTTGATTAGCTCCCTTGTTGTTGTAGATACAAAGATCCTTGAGTATGTCTTTCAAAAATTGCTGCAGAATGGACAAGTTCAGAGTTAAATTACGATTTCTGCATCGAAATGCATTGAAGATTTAGCTTCACGATCATGCTCATCTTCTTGTTTTAATCTTGGAACACATTTACCTCAAGAACTTTCATACTCCACGGTAAAAACTAAAAAGTAGCATTCAGATTGCCTACATTTTGTGCTACTTAGCAGAGCAGATGTCTTCAAATTCGTCTGTTATGGAACGTTTTCAGAAAACTTTCCTTAACAATGCCATGGATGTGTGTGTATATACAGTATATGCAGGTGACGAAAAGATCTTACATAAATTTGGAAACGGTAAGATTTTGATAGTAAATCAGATACTATAAATCAACCAGAAAGAAAACAAGCAGAAAACATAACGTACTTCTGGTTGGTTAGTCTCTTGGATCAGTTGCCTTAACGTCCGATTTGGTTTCTGTTCAAAGAGATTAAACATGATATCTTCCATTTCTCCGCGGTCCTTCCTTGTTCTTTTCATGTCTGACCCCTTCGTTGGCATTTTCTTTTTCTCCTATATGAAAGACAGGTTCTACTTATGCTTAACATAATGATGGACAATCTTATATTTTGGCATACAAATGAGTGCCCTAAGGGAAGCAAGGAATAATTTTACTCAAGAAAATAGTGCACCAAACGAGGGTAGCTATACGCACGCTTGCTCCAGGAGACATGAAACCAATCATCATCCCTGGCCTGGGCCTCATATGAGCCCCATTGTCGTTGTTCATCACCTGAAATTTGAAAAACGGACAAATTAGTGATTACATTACTGGCATAGACTATTAGATTACCCAAATAGAGTCTGAGAACGGCGTACCTGAATCTTTCTACTCTTCATATATTTTTTGGTCCTTTCGCGGCAAAGTTTCCCATAGTTCTCAAGGTTCTCACCATGGGGCTTCATATCAAATTTCTGCAATATCCTCCCCTCCACGGATAACGTCCCTACGATGACAAAGAATTTCGACATTCAGTTAAGATCGCCAAACTGATAGCTACGGTTAATAAGTGCTCGTGGCTGTGCTGAAGTAAACATAAATCTCCACTTGTTTTTAACATATTGCTTCTGATTTTGAGTACTAATCCCTCAAAGCCAGGCAAGCAACACATTTCTTCCTTTATTTACGTTGCAACAACCATTTACCAAGCGGAAAACTTCAGCAATGGATATCTCAGAAGAACAATGTCAAAGCAAAGTGAGTATCCAACTAGAACGGCAGCATCATAACATCAAGCCGATTGCAGTTCAGTATCGAAAAATCCAGGGCGGAAAGAGAGGATGCTTACCTTCCGATGACTCAGAAAACACGGACATTGGAAGAACGTCTTCAAACACATGCATAGCGTAACACTTGGGTACATTTTCAGATTTCGTGGCAGTTCCATGGTGAACTGAGTGTCATTTAAACAACTTGTGTAAACAAGAAAGGGCAACAAAACAAGGATGCATATGCATCGACGAGTGGCATTATAAACATGAAGACATTAACCCAAAGCTTTGCAAAAATTAAGCTGAAATGTTTTTTATATTCTAGCTTAAACTAATCTAAATTGTAGGGAAGGGATTCGAAATAGATGAGTGGCATTATAAAACTAAAACCCAAAACTATGCAAAATTAAGCAGAATAATTTTCGATATTCTACTTTAAACTAATCTAAATTATGAGAAGTGCATAGGGGATAATATCTGCTCTAGCCAATGGGGCTAAACCACGTCATGAAAAATCTGAAAACCCCTGAAAGGGAGGGAAAACTAGAAAGCGACAATCAAAAACAGAGAAATCAGGATCAAAAAGTAAAAGATTAAGAAACAAACAAAGATCACGGCCCGAAACGACAATGCATGGAAGAACACAAAAACCCAAACCGCAAAAACGATGACAATTCAATGTGAGTGTCTATATATATAAATGTACAAAGAAGAAGAAGAAAAAAGAAACGTACCTCGCTGACCTCGGCAATAGGGTCAAAAGAGAGAACCAACTTGGCAACAGCGGGAGAAGACTGCTGCTGATCAGAAGCGGAGGCGGAGGAGACATCAGGTTTCAGACAGCGAGAGACGAGCGGGGGAGATTTCATGAGGAACACCGGCATATTTGCTCTGTTGGTCTCCAAATAACGCCCATTCACGACATTGTTATTGCCTTGTTGCCGCTTTTGGTCCTCCATCATTTGGCACTTGGTTGGCGCCACGGCCATAGGGTTGTTCATTGTTTATTTGCTCAAACAATTTCACCAACGGTTTTTCCTCATCTTTCTGCGACAAACACGCAATGGACTATGATCATATTTGTATACAAAGGTTTTGCGTTGGGACCGTTGGGTGTTAAGGGCTTATGTCACACAACGGCCAATAACAATAGTATTGTACTAACGGGCTAAACTACACAATGAATCAATGTTAAAATATTAATTTACCGTCGAATTTGAAATCACTCACTTATAATGAAGAAAAAAAGAACCTATTAGACCATACCAATACCATAACGCTAGTGGCTAAATGAAAAAAGTTACAAACATCGTACAGTGTTACTGTTTCACTCACATTATATTTCGTGTATTTATTTTCTCTATTAATAAGCAGGAATGTGAACCATGCCGTACACCTATATTACAACACATAGAGTAATAACACCATACGACTGTGTTTTCGGTTCAGCCATACTAGTGGAAAGAGTTGCAACTGGAAAGTATAAATACGAAAACAAAGTAAAAGCACGAATCTTCAATAATAAACGGGGGAGTGAATGAACAAAAACAACTCCCGATTTCGCAATTTCTAGTGATGCAAATAGTACAGGTATTGCTAAAACGAAAGAGTACGAATTACACTCATTGCAATATCACGTCTTTTTTTCCCGTTTCTTGGAAAGCAAACATTTGTAACGGTGGTCATCAAAATCAGTTTTAGGTTACACAGTTGAGTAGAGCAGTGTTCAAGATGGAACCGAATCGGAGTTGTTGCTCCCAGTGGAGTTCTGTTTCCTTTCTGCTTGAAGTGACCGGCACAGTGATTCAAGCTTTTCTTTCTGGTTCTTTGTTTTCTCCAACTGTTTCTTCAATCGTTCACGCTGCTCAGACCAACAGAAAATCAGCGTTATACCTCATCTGCACTGTTTCTTAATAATATGGCATCAGAAAGGTTTAATGTTTGCTGTTGATTGATGACTAATGCAAAGAAAGAAAAACAAGGTGCGAGCAAACTATACCTCGTCTACGAGTTCTATAAGAGTGACATCTGTTTTCTCACATTTGCTCTTCAAGAATAAGTTTTCCTTCTTGAGTTCCTTGATGGACTTTGCCATCTAGGGTTTTGTACATGTAACAAACAGAAAGGTAGCTTAGTTTAAGGCGAAAATATAAAGCGAGTTACGCTGCACTGGAGAAAGCAGTGAAAGTGTGTCTAAATGAAATGTAATTTGAAGGAATATGTCACCTTTTCAATCTCCTGTTTAAATGTCTCGAAAACTTCATTGCTTTTCAACAATGCGTCCTGCACGATAAATATAGATCAAATAAGACCAGGTAGATTTGTATGCTGATAACACAATCATTCAGCATGAAGCACTCGTAAGATCTAATTTGAGCACACAAGAGCGGGTTGCCTTTCTTCAAAAGTGTCTAATGAACGCATACATTGGAAGGAAAACCCATAGTCGAAGCACATTTAATGATGTAAACAGAGCAAGGAGATGGGTAGTGAGATCAATTCTGATAAGAAACTTGAAAGTTGCCACGTTTTTTTGCCTAAATCTCACCTGTTAACAACTAGGACTTATAATTCCAAATAACTTAAAGATACTAGGAGGAATTAGGTGTCGGTCCCTAGCCATCAAAGTTCATTGATTCAAACCTTAATGATTTTGCATAACATAGAAAGTGTGCAACAACCATACGTCTAAAGTGTATACATGTGAGACTCAACCTACTAGCATGCCACGTAACTGACACCATACAGCCTAGGACCTACAGGGCAAATGAACCAACATAGTTTTGAACTGTGAAAATTCTGCAGAGAAATTTTGACAGCCTATAGGCTTTAACTGAGCAATTACTCATGCAGTTGTGGTGACGAAGTTCCAAATAATGGTTAAAAACACCGCATAACACAGAAGAATGCTGACCTGAAATTGTTGGAACTTCTCTCCATCAGCCGTCAACTGTAAGCGCAAATTCTTTTCAGTTGATAGTAACTGTGACACCTGTTCTGCATATAATTTCATCTGGGACTGTTCCTGGAGTAATTTCTCTTCATGCTGCTTAGTCTTCAAATCAGCAATTTGAAGCTCCAGTGATTTCTGCTTTAACTGTTCATCCAAAACAAAACCACTACAGAAAAGTTAAGTCCCTACCTAACAAATAAAACAACCATTATAAGTAAACTAACGTCATTTGTACAAGTTACAGCTAACTTTTACCATCTGTTCATATTGCTGTTCAGAAAGAGCGTGCTGATAGTTGAGCTGCTGTAGCTTAGTTCTTAACCTGAAAATGAATGAATGTTAACTAATTTTAACACAATAAAGATAAATTATAGAGCCCTATATGATTAGCGCAAGCACAAGGACAGCCAAAAAGGAAATAAAACTATGGTATGAATCAACCAAGTGAACGCAAAAAGAGATACCAAGCCATCAAACTTTTAAAAAAAATAATACATGACATTACCCTATATCAGGAAAAGTTTTAAATTTTAATAATATGACACTTAGGATGACATCGATCAAGTTTGGTCTCATTGAGAGGCACACATGCACAGGATCTCCAAGGTAAGTAAATCATAATGCTTAGATATTTTCTGCAAGATATAGCAAGCTTATTTTTTACAACATCAGGGTCTTACATTTCATTCTCCTTTAGCTGAGAGATACATTCTTCCTTTTGCTCATCCAGCTTATTGCTCACATCCTATAACGATAAGAATCTAATGTCAGAAAACATGCATTAAAGAAAACAAATAATGAACAGAACCAATATTTTTTCTTTTAAAATAGAAAGGAACCAGTTCTGAATTCTGATGTTCGGGAAGAATACAAAAGGTTGTTACTTAACTGAACCCTTAAAATATCTCATGGTTTGTAGTGTACAGAACTGTTAGTACATGAAATGTTTTGTAGTGTATAATACAGGAAATGTTTGGATTAATAAGTCAACGGTAATAACAATTCAATTCCCTAAAGAAAAGGTAGCCTATAGAAGATAAGAAGATGGAATCAAACCTTTATTGCATCTTGGAACTTGACTGATAAATCTAATCTCAAGTTCTGCCCCTCTGTGGACACCCGTTTGCACTCATCCTGTTAAAATTATCAGGAAACCATCAGTGTTTCTAGGTCAGTGACGATGTATTGATCAACTTCACAACTTACCATAACAAACTGTAAGATGTAGTCAATAAAATTAAAATGGTATTGACACAAATTAATGTCAAGAGTAATAGATCACAAGCCAGTAGTCTGAACTTGTCATTTCAAAATGTTGAAACGATGTGGTAGATAGCAAAGGTGACAATAATAGGGGACCTAAATCTGGACTGAAAAATTACACTTAACTCCAAAAAAGTTTAGCCTTCTTTTCTACACCAGATACTTTTCAGTCACTAACAATACGCAAGAGTGCAGAGTCATCCAGTGCACCCTTCCCATAATAAACTATACCTCAACCTCAAAGCAATGGGACAACAAAGAAAAAAAAGGATAAAACTTTCAGCTGCCTCTTTGCACATTTTCCTAATTTACTAAAAATAAAAAATCAACGAGAAAACAAGTCATCGCGGGAAACTTGTCAGGCCTACAATGTAGTTAAGTGGGCTTAGTCATGGTATGAATAACTGGGTACTGTACGGGAGCTCTACCTCTACTTCGATTCATCCTATGGCTTATAATAGAAAGTAGGAATTAAGTTTTCATGGTCAATCAGAACCTATACAAATTAAACTTTAAAAGAATTTATGATATGCAACATCTCAGACAAATATGAAGTTTGCAAAACAAGCATTTGAAGGATATTGCAGTCAGTCAAGGGGTAGCATACCATTAGTACTTTGTTCTGGCGTTGTAACTCCCTGCACAAGGACTCAAGCTTATCTCGAACAGAAATGGCTAGAAAGAAAAGCAGGATGCAAATAATTAGATATTAAGATTCTCTACGATGTTGCTCATAATATGATTGATATTATAAATATGTCACTCCACTAAGACTTCACCGAAAGCTATGTCTTTCCATCCGAAAAATACTGTTAAATTTGTTTTGGTAAGGTTATCAACATAATCAATAACTTTTACTATCTACCTACTGATAATTGGGAATTTTGATTCATATCATTCTTCTATTTCATGAAAATCTGTGACTCGAGATCGTACATAATGTGTAAGAAATCCATTTCTAGTCAACTATTACACGACCACATAAAAGCATTACACTTAAACCCCTACAAAACTCACTGTTACTAGAAACAAAGATATGATTCCTTCTGCAATAACCCCATATTGTACACACTACACATCAGTATATGTTCAAAAGTTCCGTCGTAAACATTAGCACAGCAATCTCAACATACCCGAATCTCTTTCGGCAAGAGCTTGTTGATACTTCAAAGTGAACTCTATGAACTCCTTTTCTGATTTAAAGGTACGCTTTACACTCTTACGTTTGGTTTCAGTGGATTCCTGAGGAAAAATTAGTCCAACTTAGTAACTGTGTAGATGATTCACATATATAACATTTTGAATGAAGATGGCATCATAAACATCTGTCTCCGACAGGAAAATGACACACATGATTTTTGGCATAGTCAAGCACACAAATTGATACAGTCTAAAAAGAGATCTAGTGATATGTAATACTTACTGTTTTTCTGTTTTTCAAAGTTTCAACACTCTCCAATGAAGACTTATCCTTCAAATTGGTTGCTGGCGCATCTGAGCCCCCTTCAGCTGCTGAAAGGCAATAACAGATGAAGGTGGCAAACAAACTCAAACAAAAAGGACCGCATAAAATATAATACACATTCTGAATTAATTGCTTTATGAGATAATCACAAGGTCAAAATACTTACGTCTCTCTGAACTTTGACATCTTGTTTCAACTTGTTTCTTTCCCTCACCGCCTTCGGATACCCCACCCGAAGCCTCAGAAACAGAAACAGCTGAATCGGGCATGACTAATGAACCTTCTTCTCTATGCTCCGTAGAGGCATTTTTGGGAACTTGAACTGAATCTACTAAAACATCAGAACTATCTGTTTCAGACAACGGAACGGGAAATGTTCTC